GGTATATTCAAAAGGAAAAGCGCCCTGTATCCTCTTGCTCCCTGATAGCCTGATGCACAGGAAGCTGACACACTTCAGATTTTAACATGCTTCCATAAAAAAACAACAGAAGTAAGTATGGCCTTTTAGCTGTAGAAGAATATAGCTCGCCATTAATGTGAACATGTATCTAAGGGGGGGGAAAAAAAAAAATCACAACTCTGAGCTATGCATCTTTCTATAATGGTACTAATAAATAATTTAACTTATTTTTCAGGATACAGTAGTCACTTCAGCATGAAGATAGTACCTTCAGTAAACATGGACATTTTCTTGACATTCATGCTGTATGTAGAAATTAATTACCTGAAATCCACTGCAAATTATGTGTTCTGTACTTATAGTCATTGTTCAAGTAATTCTGTAGAGTGTACGTTCTTCGTGAATCAGGCTCAGGGCTACTTGCTGAAAAAAAGAAACAGAAGAGAGATTTTTGATGCTGCAAGTTGTTCCACCGCAGCTTCTTAACCTGAGTACTAAAAAAAGTGGGTTTTGGTTGCCAATTATTGATGTGTTTTAGCTAGCTAGTTCTCAAGTACTAGCAGTAAGGCAGCACTAAAGCTTTACTGCAAGATAAATTCAGCAAGCACAAACTAAAGGAGTATCGGTGAGATCACTCAACAAACTCATGTAAAAATTATAGATGTCTTTTCTCTGCTGGTATTTTACTTTAAGGTATGCAAGAGCTGTTATATTTTGAGTAAATGACAATACTTTTTTGACAGTGACAAATATAAACAGAAGACCTCTGTCCCTCTTATCTCAGGAAATGCATACTTGTACTCCTCAAAAATTGAAAAGATGTGATCTTAGTGCCTTTCCCCTCTATGTTCACTCTGGGAACTTCACTGCAGAACCCTGACTGCTAGTATTTGCATAAGATATCAATTGTGGGATGGATCATGCAAAGCAGAGACATGCATGCTCATAGTGGAGAGTGGTGGACAGGTGAGGCTGTCCAGATGAATGAAAACTCGCATCCATATCAGTAGGTGTACAGACCTTGAAAGATACTTTATCACACATTCTGTAATACTGCTGTTCATGAACCCTTCAGTTAGGAATCATCTGCCTATCATTACACTCAAATTTCAGAAATGTTTCAGAGAGACTCAAGGAGCAATAAGGTTTTCCAGGAAGGTCTAATTTAAAAAAAAATAAAAATCATAAACGCTTACTGGTAAGCTTATGATTAAATAACTGGTTAAATATTTATCCCTCTTTTGCTGTGTTTTTCACCACGGTATCTTAATGTTTACTGCAATGTTACTATTTTTACTGCAAAATTAAAGTCAAGTAACTGGGTTACTATGAAAAGACTAAGTGAAACTTTGAACCCAGTTAAGCTAATGAGTTTGGTCATCAGCTCCAGTGTACCGCAGTCAACTTCTATGAAAAATATTTCTTTATTACTGGCTGCAGTGCACAAGCTGCTCTTTCCAATGTCTGAAAGGTTCAAATAATAATAATAAAATAATAACAACAATCATCATCATCATCAGTTTGTGAGTCTATGGTCTTTTTCCTCTGAAAGCAAAGACTACAATTTTTAAATTCAGGTGTGCAATTCTCTTCCTGCTTCCTCCCCTGCCTTTTTTATTATTATTATTTTTTAATGGCAACCTAAAAACTACCCTCATACAAATCTACACAGTCCAGAAGGGAAGCCACTTTTATTTCAACTGGCTAAATCATTCATTTTTTTTACTACCAGTACAAATCAAAAGACCTAGGATAAAAATAACGGATAAAAACACTCAAGTACAGATGTGGTGACTGATCAGCCAAGATAATAACCTGCCCCTATCAATTCTGAGAGTCCCAGTCTTTGAGATACTTTTAAACAGCCAGCCTCTTCTTTCATTACGCTGAAGAAGAAAGAGTGCAAAGTCCTTGGGGACACACACACACAGAAAAGTATCTCACAACAATTTTTGCATGTAATCTTTCTGCAGGTTAAATACACGTGACATCTGGAACATGACAGGAAGATATTAATATTAGCTATTACAGTTTCATTCTTATTTCCAAACAATAATCACATTGCATATATACAGCACAGACTGTACAGCCAGTGCTGCAATAGAAGCCGAGCCATAAAAAACAATGATTTTAGTCTAAGAAGCTCAACAAAGGTTAAAAAAATTCATTGATCAATTCCATTTGAAATTTGACTGTTCTAAGAAAAGTGCCTAGATTTCTTTCTCATGAAGCTTCTGTGAGAATATTAATTTCTCAGGTTAATTATTCTATATTAACTGAATATTTAATTTGATGGATTATGACCAAGTGTGCATTTGATATTCATGCACAGTTGTCTAGTTGGGAATATCACTTCTCTCCTTCCTAATTGAGTAAGTGTCATTTTCAATTAGAGGGGCTTCCGAAAGCAACAAAATTCTCTCTTGGAAAAGGAGGAGCAATTTAAGACAGGTGGCTGATGAACAGGTTTAGGGATTTTTCCAAACTGATGAATGTTTTTCCCCCTGGTGACATACATATTTTGCTGAGGTCTCATTACTAAAAATCAGGCCACTATTAAGATTTGTTGGCTGTGTATAAAATTAAAATTTCATTTTCTGTCAACACCTTCCACATAGTAACTGAATATGAAAACATACGCCAAGCTGTAAGGGTATAGTCATAAAAGTTCTGGTTGAAGTATTTTCTTAATTTGCAAGACAGGCCACTACCAGTATATTCTTACTTATCCACATTATGCCACCGACCAAAGATACTCAACATACATAGAATTCTGCATTTCCCTTCTCCTTGTTCAGATTCCATTTGAAAAAAAGTGTCAAACAGGTTTATTTTGACAAAATAAAGTAGTTGTTGACATTCAAGAGCATTTTATTGGCTTTGAAGATTGGATACAGGTCAATGTATATTCATATTTTAGCAAAACAGCTTCTTTCACTCCTAGGTTCCTCAGAGAGGCTGTGAAGGATGAATTTTCTTGCTATTTTTCTTTTTTTTACTATTCCAAATACAGAGTTATTTTTCTAAATACCAAATGACTAGCTCTTCATCTCTACTGTATTCTCACTCCCAGCAGCATATACATATTTCCACTGTCATAATGACATATTGGAAATATTTACCTCATAATACTCTTGTTACAATAGCAAAAATTTAAGTAACACTTCTGGAAAGAAGGCTCTTAACTTTTTATGTAAGTAGCACTCATATGAAGTTGATAAACAGTTTTGTTTCAATTTTGGATTTTTTTTTTTAATATGTCACCCTTTCTCAAGGGAAAAATTGAGTCGGTTTCTGTAGGTGTAAGGTGTAAAGTAAACAAGAAGTTAACTATTGTGTAAGGTTTATGGTATGACACATTACCATACCAAAATCTGAAGTTGTTGACAAATTACTTTTGGCATATGTATTGTTTATTCCCCATTGTCAAGGCACGTTTTACTAATTTCCTTATGTAATAAAAAAAGAGCAAAAAATTATGTAACCAATTTAAAAGAGATGGAAAACTATAAACCCAGTAATAATGGAAGCTTTACTGCATGTTCACTGCTATCAAGAGAGTCTGGAAGAACCACAACAAGGGAAAGACCAGTACAAGCATGATGCTCAGTAATATTGAGAAAGAAAGGGATAGAGAAATAACAAAAATCAGAAAAGGTGAATGAGTATCACCACTTTTAAGTGACAGCAGAACAAGAGCTAGAATGATCTGCAATCTAAGAATGTAATTTAGGAGCAGTGCGAGATATGCAAGAAGGGAAACTTGACTGATTCACTAGTTAGAAAAGTGACATTTCAGGGTATTTTTTCCAAACCTTCCTTCTTCTCTGCTCCTCTTCCAATGTGTGTAAAAAAGCACTCAAAAACCTTCCCCCCCTACACTGAATCCCCCAGTTACTGCCTGAGATGTATGACAATTAGAGCACAGAAATGGATTTCCAGCACAGAAGAAAATAAAAATTACTCTGCTGGGTCAGGCCAAAGGTTCACTTAACCCAGAATCCCATCGGGTTCCCAGTGGCTGATACTGGCCATCCAGGAGAGACCATAACAAACGGGTGAGCGCTGTGACACCTTCCGGGGCAGTTCACCCAGGTGTCACTCTCTGGGGCTGCAGAGACTTCACCAGAGGGAATCACTGACTAATCATTAACTTTGTAATCAATGGGCAAATTTGAGAGGGACTCCAGAGCTAATCTCATACAGAGCAAGGAAACAAAGATAGCAGAAGTGTCCTGCAGATGGCAATCCACTGCTAGCAGGGGTTTTTATAGTTGGTTTTTTTTTGGGGTTTTTTTTTTTTTTATATTGCATTACTCAACATTTACATTAAAGTAGATAACCAAGTTAAATGACAGTTACAGAGGTCAAGGACATATAGCAAGAAAACATTTCCATTCTCTATCTTTTCCTTCATTAGCTAGAAAAGTAATACACCCACACCTAACATGAAGATGACAAGGATTCTGTAACGCAGGGCAAGGTGCATGAATACATGGGGAAAAGAGAATGGTTAGAACAGTCAAGCCAAAAGACTGTTTGGTCAGGCACGTCTACAGCATACTTACAGCATGGTAGTTAACCTGCTGTATTTCCCATACAATTTTGGAGAGAATTTCAGCCATGATTTTGATTAAAGTCCTTTGAAGCTCGGTTACTGGAATTAACTACTGCTTACTGTTTACATAATGGTTCTCTAAACCTTAATTTTTGAATCTAGATTCAAAGAGATTCTACTTCAAGATCAATTTCTGATCCATAGATTTAAATTCCCTTACAGATTTTCTAAATTTCTCCCTAAACATCCTTAAACCTAATGCCTTCCAGAAACTGAAACAATACAGGACCCCTTGCTCTCAAGAAAACAGTGACAGATCACAGCTGCCAGATTCATTCATCTTGTGGCACAGGTCTTCAAGTACGAGGGCTGTATATCAGCCAGAAGCCTCTCTGTATTTTAAACATACTGTTCAGTTGCAAGCAGAGCATTGACACTGGCAATAGACGCTCCTCCATACCACCCAGTCACAAATTTGCTCAGTTCAGGACAGCATGCAAATAGGATAGTCAGGGGAAGACTGTAGATATGACCATCCCCAGCAGAACAATGATGAGAGGTATCTGGAGACTTTTCTTTCCCTTTCTTTCCAGTTGTACATTAACAGGCCTGTGAGGAAGATCTGCAACCTCACCTCTCCTGAGTCCTTGAAGCACGAAGCTGTCTCAGCAGTCCCATCATTCTTCAACTTCAAAACCAGAGTGACAACATGAACTTATTTGACTTCTGCTGCCAGTAACCCTTGTCTCTATTTATGGTGGCTTCCTACCAGCCACTAGTAATACCCAACTTAGTTTTGCCTGAGGGTCCTTTGTGAGTCTGATGCCTCTTAAGGTCATTAACTTCCCAAGCACCAGCTGTGCTTTTCTAGCCTCTTCTAGGTGCATTTCTATCAAAATACTTCAGAAGCCCATGCTAACCATGACAGCGATGAGTCTTCTCACTTAGTGAATATCTCACCCTTACAGAACTAGACCTCTGGGTGAAGGAACCTGGTTTGTGACCAGACAATTGTAAAGGACTCCCCCCCATTATAAAGCTGTTTATGACTTGCTCAAGGCAGCAGAACAATACTAAATATTGCACTGTACCCTTTCTGCTCTCAGGATTGGCTACTCTTCCTCTCATTCCTGGCCTTCCTGCCCAGCTGGCCATAAAAAGAACTGCTGTTAGAGAAGAGGTAATGGTGTATGGCCACTGGATGTCTCAATCTGCCTTGTGCATGGAAACTTACAGGAGAAAAAAATAGGAGAAGCGTAAGTAAATGGATAAGTGAATCACGAGCAGACCACAATTTTTTTTACAAAATACTCATGCTTTAAGGGTAACCACTTGCTACTGTAGTCACCTCTTGAACAGCTCCTCAAAGCATTAACGATGCTTTTATCAACAGACTTCAAATACAACCCCCAAGGCTGTTCTGAGATTAAACTGTTTGATGCAAGTAGCCCCGTGTGGTTTTTAAATATAAAATAAGGTGGCAAAATAGGCAGCAGGTATAAACAAAGAGTATTGAATTTTGTACACAGTTCTGGCTGAAGACCGTCAAGGTAAATAGTGAAGGGCTGCACCCAAAATTAGGGAACCTTTTTGAAAATGTAAGTCTGCAGTATTTGCCCATGCTAAATGGCTACAAGAGAAGCAGCAAAAGTTCCACGTGCCAGGCCTACAGTCCGGCCAACAAGCCAGAATTCCTCCGCAGTGGCAAAATTTGACAACCTTGCACAGCGCTAGAGCCCATTTATCAAACTAATTCTGTGTTGCATGACTACTAAGCTTATGAAATGAAAGTACATTGAGAAGCATGGTTGGGAAGAAGAGTAGCAGGCCAATGGTAAGAAATCCAAACTCAGAATTATCTGTGTATATCAATAATCATCATTTTCACTCCCTGCACAATGCTTGAACTATGGGATGAAATAAAGACTTGGTTGTAATCACAATGACTTAGAGACAAACTTTGATTTCACATAGTCACAGTCATATAAGCTCCTGCTCCTCCCCACTGCCCCTCAGCTTTGCCACCTTTCATTTTGTACTCAGTCCAGCACCTGTGCCGACCCTGGAGGCATCCTCAGCTGACTCACACGCCCTGAGGTTCATAAAAGCCATAAAAACTGGCAGTCATTAAGTGCTCTCACCTATAAAGGAGTAATTTTAAGTGCACCACCTGTACACCCTCAACTAACAGAAAACATTTGTTTAGCAGCCTTCAGTCAAAAGCACTCTGCAGTTCCCAAACTATAATGGTCACAGTTGTTATTCAGCTGTTACTGCTGGCCTGATTTGGGAAGAGACAGGAATTCCAGTTTTTGAACTGGGGCCTCTCCATCTCAATCCTTATTTTATCTAGATGGACTGAGTGAACTACCTGGGTGTGCTGGATATTTTCCCATTGAGCCAACAGTAAAAAGACTGACACATTGCCCTCCTCTTTTACAACCCCAATGATACAAGCCAAGGTTGACAGCATAATGATGTTCTGTATGTCATCCAACAGACATGTTTCTTTAAAGTAAAATCTATTTACTATATAACTCAATGACTGATTCCAAATTGCAGCCACTTCTATGGAAATGGATTCCTATGCTACAATTTATGAAAGAAGAAAACCCATTTGATTTTCTGTAAGACATAGCATTGGCATTAAGGTAGACAAGCACCAACTCTTCAGCAGAGTTCAGGCCTGCATATTGAATTTTTTCACTAGGTGTTATGCCTGCACACATGCATCTAATAAGTTATCAAGACCCTTTCTCTTGCTCTTCCCAACTTCTGAAACTAAGAGTATTTTCTGTTACCTCAAAATTCTGCTTTTATGAGATAAGTGGTAAAAAGCTGCCCAAAACTAACAGAAAAGAGAGTCAGCATTTCTGATGCAAGTTTTAGCCCAGAAAGTATGTGCTTCAGTATCTGGACTTTGAAATCTAGTTTTTAACAACTGTGATATTAATAATGACAGGGCTGAATTTCAAAAGAGTTTAATGTAAATCATGCCATATCGTGACACAAGCTTTGCCTCCTTAATTGACATACAAAAAACCAACCAGAACTTTCTGTGCATATAAGCATTTCTGAACACATACACCTCCACACTTCTTGGGGTGCACCTCACAAACAGAAGACCACCAAAGGTCTAATCTAGAAAACACTTTGTTCCCTTTGAGCTTGCAGTGCTGGATTCTACGTAACAACTGCTCAGCTGTTAATCATAAGAACACAATGACAGATTGACCTGCAGCTCTGCCCTACCAGCTGGAAGCAATGCATTGCTTGATGAGGATTTAATGCAGTTTCACATTAACATCCAGAGCTATGAGGACAATGTAGGAAGTACCCACCAATCCGAGTCCAAAAACGCATTCCAAATCTTTTCCTACTTTTCTGACCTCTGTAACTGTGCTGTGTACGTATTTTTACTCAATAACCTTAACAGAAGTTGTGCAAACAAAGCAAATTAGAGGAAATCTTATCTCTTCAATACACTCTAGAAAATTGACTACCTGGCATTTTACTGCTGGCTCTTCAGCCTTCAGCTGCAGTAGGAAAGGAAAATGCTGAAAACGATACTACTTATAGCTAGTATTTTCTCAGCTCACGTGGAAATCAAGGGGCTTTTTAACCCCCCCGCGCCCCTCATCCTCCCAGGTGAGACACCTTGGCTAAGCACCTCCCAGTTTCCCAAGAGCTCCAGTTCTATCAACCTCGTTCCCTAAAGCACAAACTTTCAGCATAACTTTCTCCCCGCCACAGTGGGCGTCGCGGCTACTGATCCCCCGCGCCCGGCAAAGCCCGAGCCCCGGCGACCGCAGGGAACCTCTCGCCGCACTCCCCTCCCGGCCCCGTCGCGGACTTACTGCCGGTGAGCAGAGCCAGGGACACGGCGACGACCGTGACGATGACGGC